GGTTTCCTATAGCAAACAAAATAAACAAATAAACAAACTTCCTCTTTTATTTATATAGATTATTTCCAAAGCAAACATTTGACAGAAGATATAACTTATTGAAAACTAAAGTTTCCTACAAAATATATTAAATATAATAATACAAAATCAGTAGTAAATAATTAGTACACATAAATAGTAGTATTAGACAACTTTAGAACTGGCTAGTAACTACTTAATTTTAGTTGTCTGTCAAAAAATAAACAAAAAAGAATATTGTAACATTTTTATCGTTTTTGAGCAAGATAAATGTCACTAGTCTGATTTTCAACTTCTCACAATACGATTACATAAATGTATGAAAAATAGTACAAACTCTCTAAATAGTATCTAGTTTTTTGCTTTCAAAAATTCAGAGTTTTGTATTTCTAAATAATCTTTAGGTTATGAAATTTCCAAAACTTTGTTGTGAAACACTTTTTTCAAAATTAAAAAAAAACTTCCTTTTATGTTAGAATTAAAAATTGTTTTTTAATATTGATCATTAGGTTACATATTTTGAATATCAAGTCAGTTTCATCTTGTTTGAAATAAATTTATATACATTATTTTGCTGATTAAAATAGTCACTATTTTTGGTTATAAATCATACAAAACATAGGAAAAATTGAAAAAAAGTATATTTGTGACCAACGACCTCAACATTCAAAATGGCATCACTATTACCTCTGTCAAGTATTGTATCATTGTTTTGCCAACAACATTCTTGTCCATGATCAATTTATATCTAATAAATATAGTTTATTTCCAATATAGAATACTTTATATAAAATTGTTTGAATACATTAAATGTGACAATATATTCAATAAATAGGAAATTGTAATCTTAATCCGATACTTACTAAAGCTAACTAAACTTACCCATGTCTTTTTATAGATAAATTTCTTGTAGTTTTCAAAACATATGTAATTTAACGCAAACCTTATCAAGAACAAAAAAAACATTGAAAAAATTATAATAAAATCCTTGATGTATGGTTTGTTCCTAAGTGTTGTAAACTTCACATCAGAATCCTTTGTTTACTTTTAAAGAGTTCAAGAAAGCTAATGTGTTGGCAAACCACAAATTACTGATACAAACACTTCACTTGTTTGAAATGTAGGTGTGTATGCAACACCTACAAACCACACACCTGCTGTAATACAGAGGTTAATATTAATTATGTATCATCTAAAATTATCTTAAATATGGCCCAAATATTTTATTCTGTATTATTGTATACCAATGTAGTATTAAAATTGTACTATACTCTGTAATCATTATTGAATACAGAGCTATAATTCAGCTAATAGACAAAAATAAACTAATTTAGTCATGTTCTTCAGAAAGTTTTAAAGTTAACTTCCATTGTTTACGGGTCTTAGAGCAAAAAAAAAAATGTATGAAACAACTGTATCTGACAACAAATTTCCTGTTTCTCAGCTTTGCACAAAACCATGTATATATCTGATTATATGGAACATTGATTTTAATTATTTTTCTTGTACATATTTTCCATAAAATAAAATTTTTAGATTTTATATTTGTTTGGTAAAAAAACAAAAGGAGGTGGCAAGATAAGAATTTTTAATGTTTTGTGTTACTCATAAAACACACAAACTTCACATGTATCCACTGTAAACTTAAAAAAACAACAGCTTATTTGAATACTGGTTTTTTGTTAAGATTGTCAAAATACCATAATTGATATGCACATACCAATACACCATAATAAAACCTGTACAGTTGGAGTAATATCTGAAAAAAAAATTGTTACTACCTGATCCTGTTCGGGGTTCAAATTCATTTCTCTTGTTCAACCAATCCTTAAGGCTCTCTCCACATAGTTCCATCTGTATGTACATAATGGATTGCAACTTCTGTAATAAAAATATTTTGTATTTGTTTAGTTAATGATGGTACATTAACATCTTGTATTGTTTTGTAATTCTCCTCATGCTACATTTCTAAAACATCAAAGTTCATTATATCTCTGGAAGGCACAGTTCTTTAGTCTTAAATCCAGCTATGTCACTGCAGAATGAACATAAACAGCAGTACATCCTAGTAAGATACATTCATAAGGATTGATAAATGCATGTGTCATGATATCAACAGGATCACTTTCACACATCCTTGTGAGGTTAACAACACCCAAATAACAAAAGAAAGACAACTAGTGAAACACAAATATAACTTAGAAAAATTATAGTAAGGGTGTGACTTAGAAATTTAATGGTGTCATTTCTTCAAGACACTTAGATTGTCAGTGTTAATCCTAAAAAAATAGAAATTATTTACATTTCTGAGGAACAAAAGTATATCCCTGAGTAAGTTTAAAAACTCTTGGAAGAACATGTGATAAAGTAGACAAGAATAATATATTTCAACAGCCCTTAAAATAACATACGATCAAGTGCAATTAGAAAATATTCATATTCTTTATTTAACAGCCAACATTACAATGTAAGAATAAAAAGTATCCTATCTTTTGTTTAAAAACCCTGTAAATAACAATGATAAAAAAAAAGATACTAAAAATTTCCCTTATTTGGTTGGCAGGCCTTGGAATAACAAAATGAAGTAAAATGTGAAATTATTTTATAGAAATTATGTTACTTCTTAACGTTAGCCATGGTATAGCTGCATTAATTTATTCCACGAGTTTGGTATCTACAACTGAAGACCTTCTGTGTTAGACAGTTTGTACTTAATGCCCTAAACTATATATAATGACCACAAAGAGGAATTATATTACAATGACAGAAAATAGGCAGACTTGATTCAATGTATGTAAACTGACTTATTTTAATACCAAAACTCAACATGATAAAGTGAAACAAACAGCTACTACTTTTAGTTTGTTAATGCCCTAAACAAGATTATGACATTTGACATCTATTGCTGAAGACCTTACAAGTTAAGCAGATTAAACAAATTAATTAAACCTATAAGGACTACATAGGTGATGTCGTCTTCTCTGATTTTTACACTTGAAATACTTAACCTCATTGCATGAAATTTGATACACAAGATGTAGTTAAAGCTTGAAAAATATTATATAGTTTGGCTTAGTATTTGTATCAATTTTCAGGTTGTAAATTTTCAGAAATTTCGTTCTTTAATGCTGTTTGTTCTTTTTCATTGTTGTTATGTGCCTAAAATCACATAACTGTAACCAGAAGAATTATATTTTTCAATAAAACTGTAATTGTTGTGTCTGTGGTATTCTAATGATGGCATATTAATTTTTTCATAGAAGCCTTTACATACAAAAAACTATTGAAAAATATGAAAAACTAAATAAAACTGGATTTTTAAAAATTATTGATCAGAAAGTTCCATTATAAATAAATCGCATTAGGTCTAACTTATATTATTTTCATCAGTTACTTATCTTTACCTACTGAAGCAGTTAGGTAGTTGCAAAAATAACATACGACACCACTAAACAGTAAAAGTGTTGACTGGTATAAATGCAACTTATAAATGCACATTTTATATCTACATTGGTATACAATATACTATTCTTACCATATAGTTGGTCAAGCTCAATTTCTATCTAATATTTGTAGTTTGTGTACACTAACTAAGAAATTGTCTTTTTATATGTGTTAAGTAATAATAAATTTATTAATACACATAAATAAACAAGCATTTCTGCAACCTGAATCATTTGCTGTTGAAGAAATCCTAGCATACTATACTACTAACCCTAAATATCCTTATGTCTTCTCACATGAGAATATCTGTGTTTTAAAAGAGGCAGAACAAAATGATTACCATGAACAAAACTTCATCCAAATAAACTATAATTAGTATTTAAAAAAATCCAAGGCTTGTTACTTAGTTTGTAAATTTTGCAATAATATCCTTTGTTCTCCACAATGTGAAGTTTTGCTAGCCCCTTTTAGAGACATTATACATTTAGTAAACTTATTGAGTCTTATTTACTTTAAAATAATGTAGACAGACACGAATATTTGTTTATTCAATCATGTTTAGTCATTGGTTCTATCTTGTTTGGAGGGTAAGATTTAGTAGTTACTCTCTAACCCACATATTTTGGCATCATAAACCTCTGAAGACATTATTCTTGAAATACTTAATTAGTGTAAAAGAATATCATGTGACAAATAAAACCTTGGATAAATCTATTTATAAAACATTTCAGTGTCTGGGTAAAGTGAACATTTTCCTTGTTTGAAAATGTATTTCATGTGACAAGAGCCCTACACCTCAATAGCTCCCCCTATGCATTTGCACTCGTGAAACTTCATTCTTTGAAGAGGCAAGTAAGAAAATATGCACCTGAATGCATGAGGAGTTATCTATCAGAAATACATTTTCAGGTAAGGAAGATATTAACTATGGAGACAATACCTCACCTTTTCACACAGTATAGTTAAAATTCCACAATGAAGTGGTGGAGGGACTGATATATATATATCTACCATTCTGCCCATATATATATATTGTACCAAGATGACCAGAACAGTCCTGTATAGTGTGTGCTCACCTCAACTCTACTTATCAGACATTGGCTGTAGAAGGAGATGTTAGATATATATAGATAGATAGATACTTGGTATGGTATAGTGAATGTTCAACTCAACTGAACAGATTCTGTGGGACAAAAGAAGGGCACTGAATTAAGCAAGGTTTATCCATGTATCTATAGTGTGCTCACTTGAACTCCATTGAACAGACTTTGGCTGCAGGAGAAGAGCACCATCATTTAGTGTGTACTTACCTCAACACTACTGAACAGACTCAAACAGCAGGAAGAAGGCACAGTTGGCATGAGTGATTTATATGAGGGAGATGACCTACACTACACTAACAGTTTCAATATCACTCCACTTCTCACCACATTGGTATTCTGTGTTCTATCCTCAGTGATTTAGTCTGAGCAGTGAGGGTTCTCCATGGTCCACCACCCAAGCAGCTAGAAACTGGTAAATGAGCAGGGTCTCCCCTGCTCCATTTGATGAGGGGGGATTTGCACAGAGTAGATCTGAAGAAAGTTCCCATCAGTCAAGAAAGATCTTATATTGGAGACAGTCCAATGAGTGATCATGAAACTCCTATTTTTAAAAGCCAGCAAGCCTGAGCTGGAGAAGTGAGTAGAACACCTCCTTGTTGCTGGCTTTTTCTATGGTAGTCATTGGAATAGGTACAATGTTAATAGTTAATATACATATTCGTATAAAATAAAGAAATTAGACTTTTAGAGAAAAATCACCTTTAAAAACTATGGTAGTAATTTATTTACTTGGTGAAGTTTCGAGCAAACATTCTTTTTCAAGCCAAAAACATACATACACACGGATACCTTATGAGGTCTTGTGGAACATTCTATCTCAAAGTGGGCATAGGTAGAACCAGGCCAGATTGGTATGAGCGTTTTTGGATAAGTATACCCTGGGAAGTAACACCAGCCACCTGGTGGGATCCTATGAAATGAAGGAGGGGCTCTGAAAGAGAGAGAGGGAGTACATACTCCTCTCAAAGACAGTGGGTAATTGAAGATTGGTTGTTGTTTTTAAAAACAAAGTCACACTGGGCTTTCTGCTTTGTCTACTGCAGAGAATTGAATCTAGGATTTTAGCATTGTGAGTCCATAAACTTACCATTGTCCCACCTGTGGAAGCCAAAAACCATCATAACAAGAAACAAACAAATGGTGTAAAGAAGATGAATGTGTAAAGAGAGTACACATGCCTGCCTGGAGGATATTGTCCAAGGGCTAGCAAAGAAAAGATGTAAGAGAATTAAAAAAAGTGATGAATTGAAAGTGAAGAAAAGCAAAATAGTCTGAAAGCATCCATATCCCGAGATGAACATGTCAATGGGTAAGTTGATGGAAAAAGAGGCCCATGGAAAAAGATAGATCTAAAGAGAGAGGTCCATAATATGGTACACCAAACAGAATACAAGAGCTGAGCCAGGTGCAAATGGTCCAACAGATGAGGAACGGGATAGGAGAGAGGTACTGTGTACCTCCTAAATAATTAAAGTCAAAGGAAAAATGAAGAGTCAAGGGAGAAGAAAAGATAATTGTGGTAGAAGAAGGTAAGAGAAGCACCTATAGAAAATACATCAGAACAGTTGTAACTGTAGAAGAGAAGTAGAAGGAAACAACTCTGAAGATCAAGACAGTACAAAAGTTAGGAAGTCAATGGCTTGAATGAAGCATGCACAAGACCATGCAAAACCTCATTCAGGTCTCAGTCAGTCAAGGGAGGAGAATGAAAGAGTGAACAATAACAGAGAGAACATGGAAAAAACACCTAAGAGCACCAGGAGAGAAGGAAGGCCATGGACAGAGACCAAGAATCTATCATTGAACAGTCAGGAATGATAAGCAGGAAACTAGTGCACAAAATTACTGCCAGAAGGAAAGGGATGGCAGAAGGGCCAATGACAAACCACTTGCCACAGATGATGACAAACAAATACAGTGGAAAAACAACAAGAATGTGGCAACAATAATGTAGCATTAGTGGAAAGTCCAGCTTGATGGATGACAGATCGGGCAGAGTCCCTGCGTAAGGTTGAAGGAAGGGAGAGAGAGAGATGAAAGTTGGTACGAATATCAAGCAGACAAAGGTGAAGGGGGTTAAGGAGACACCACCAATAGGGCCCAAGAAGGAGAATAATGTGTAAACTAATGCCCAGAATGAGAAGACAAATAGGGGAGAAAAGAGGTAAAAACAGACCTGGCTGAGAAAATCAACAGTAAAAAGCTGAAGAATGAGCAATAGGGGACCATAAGAGCTCAGTGATGACAAAAGTGGCAAAAGCAACCAAGAAAGGTATGTCTAACCATAAGCAAATCTCATGGAAGACTTGGGGGTTGTAGAGACTACTTTGTTGATAGAATACAAACTGGCCAAGAGAGGTGGTTTGCCACAAAGATTTAACTTCCTGGCAAATGATGTGAATGGACTCAGAAGTGTATGGTTAATGCTGGAAAACAAAATGCCCTGGGACAGAAACTTCAAGGACAGTTGGAGCAAGGAAAGACCATATAATAGACTAAGTGAACCACCAGTAGGGGCAGGAATAGGAACATGCCCAATGAAGAGTAAGAAGATTGAGAATGTTGATTGGAAGCAAACTCTTGTCCAACATCCAAACTTTGAAAATTCTACCCTCATTGAATACCTCAGTCAGAGAGAGAAACATTGAAGAAGGGAGAGATTTAGTTGAAGAGGCAGTAAGGGACTACAGGAAGTAATACAAGCTCAGTCCAGGCACCATGACAAGTACTTGAAGCAAGGCTCACAAATGAGGACAAAGGACCCAAAGAAAGAAAACCATGGGTCCACAAGGTCTACTGTAGGAGATACATGACGACATACCCCAAAGAAATGAGGGGGTTTTAGGGGAAAAAAAAGAACATCTCATGCAGAAAAAAAAGGTTAATGGAAAACCTAGTGACCAGATATGCCATAACTAACAGGAAGATGATAAGCCAAATTTGGATGAGACAAGAAAGGAAGAAAATGCCAAATACAGAGTGGATGTGAGAAAGAAGTTACATCCCATGATACTCCCCCCCCCCCTTCAACTGAAAATGGGCTAACAGGTATAAATAGTCAAAGAAAAGGAATTCCAGCCCCAGGTCATGAATATGGCAAATGAAAGCTCTCATGACAATAAGAAACACAAGAGGGGCTGAAGTGAAGAGCAAGGAAAGGAAATACATGAAAAGGATGAACAGAACAACAAAAAAAGGAAGTAGGGGTTGAGAAATAAGTGGAGGAAAGTGTCTGACACATCAATCAACCATGGCCAACCACAGACCAGGTGAAAAATGATGATAGATGGGGTTATAAGGAAAATAATAGGAAACAGAAAGAGAAACAAAGAGAAGAGATACAAGGAAACAGATCAAAGTGGAGAAATAAAACACAACTTACAGTAGAAAGTGAGACTAACAGCAGGATAATAGGTGGATACCCAAGAATCATACATGTGATAGTCACTAACAAAAAGAGTGACAAACAAGACATCAGAAAGTGAGAAGATAAAAAAAGAGGTAGACCTAAAATTCAAAATGGAAGGTTAGTAGGAAATTGATCTAGACGAGGAATAGGAGTAAAGGGCAAGGTTATGAAAGAAGAAAAAAACTCTGGGAAAAGAAAGAGGATAGAAGTCATAGGATATCAGTCCAGGTTAACAGAGAGAAAGAAAACCAATAAAGACATCTGGGCAAGAAAATGAATCCACACTAATAATAAATACACCAAAAAAGGGAAGGAGTATGGTAAAGAACATAACACAACCCAATGAGTCCCGACTACAGAAAGACAAAGTATGGAGGAATAGAGCAGAAGTGGTTTAGGTTAAACAGAGAAGGGATGTTTACAGATACCCATCTGGAACACGAAGAAATGCCTCAGATAAAAGGTGAAGATAGGAGAGGGAGTACCAGAAGGTAGATAGAAAAGGGGCAAAGATATAAAACCAAGGAATGGGAAAGTGATACAGAAGGTAAAAGGTATGACCCCAAGCTGGCCAGATAGACACCAATGAAAGAGAATTGAGTAAAGGAAATGAAGAAAGTCTACAAACAGGACAAAAACAGTCACTAAAGAAAGGGGGACAAGGAATTTGATCATTAGAAAGGAACTATTAGAGAAAGGAAACAGCATAAGTTATAATAATAAACAAGGAGAAAAGACAATGTAAACCCAAGAAACATCGATCATGGAGCACAGGCAAAATACAATGAATGGAACATACTTGAAAATGAAATCCAGAGAGAATGGAAGGTCACAAATGGTAAGGAACTATCTAAAGCAAAGCAGGTTAAGGGCATAGTCCAACAGACCATTTTCAACTGATGAGAAAAAAATTCTGCCAACTGGACAGGAGTAGGGGGGCCAAAGAAGCATGTGGTAATCTACAACACATTGAACAATGGCTGCAAATACCCTTATAGCTAATGAGCCTCCTGATGCCGTAGTAAAATGAGGCTTAAATGTGAACCATGTCATGCATTCAGGACTAAGTACAAATCACCCTCATTTGTGAATTCTTGACAAAAAATTAAATCTTTTGAAACAAAAGCTACAGAAAAGAAAATCAAAGTTTGGTTAATGATGCAAATCTCAATACACTGAATACAGACAAGAAATTTAAACATGTCTGTACAATACAATGCTGAAGATAAGAATGAAGTTTCACGAGTGTAAGCACATAAAAGAAGAAAATTGCACATGGAGGTGTGTTTCCCTCCTATTGGTGGAAGGTTTTTATCACATGATATCATCATACAGTAACTAAATTCATATAAAATCATGTCAAATTAGGTGGAAGTTGCCTCAATGCAAGTGGCACGCAAATCTCTTTGGCAGATGCACTGAGGATGATAGTTAAACATTACATTAAACAAATATAGTAAGTTACAAAATATAAACTCTTAGATATTTGAGTAAAAATTAGAACTACAAGTTTTACTTAATTTGTGAAATTTCGTATGCAAGTTTGCCCTCAGTGTCCTCTTGAACCTGAGAGATGCTCACTGGTCCTAATAGGGTTAATAACTGAAACACAATAGTAACATTTGATGTCTATTGCTGAAGGCCTTTCCAGTGGTTTATTTTTCTACCACAGACATACAAAAGGAACAGAGAATACAAGAGTAAAAGTAGAATATTCTAATTGAGCCATACATGTCTCTGAAAATTGAAAAAGCTATTTTACAAAGCATGATCAATTAAAAGTGAAGGAATTATCACTAATGTTTTAAAAAAATTGGTTTTTCTGTGTTACCCTTTGAATGATATTTGTTCTTAAGTGACATTTATAGCTGACTATGAATAATAAATCTATATCATCATTCTAATACTGGCACTAGAAACCAAGGATGAATTAACAATACATCTTTGACACTTGTTTCTCTCTCTTTTTTTTGTTGTTAAGACTTTCAAATGTGTGGTTTTAGAGGTATTAGAAATTTTGCACAAATCCTTTTTGTTCAAAATAATTTAGTTTCATAACAGCTATACTTAGCCCTATAAGTATAATAGTTAAAACTTTAACTATACTTGTTGTATATTAATCCCTTATATTATTACTCAAAGTAACAAAACACAATTTTCATTAACATTCATCAGCCTTCAACTAATCTATTTCTATATAATATTTTATTCAAATATCAACTACAACCAATAATATCACTTAAAAATTCTACAACCAACATTAACAAAAAAGGTGATCAAAGACTTACATAACAAGTTATATAACATCTTTAGATAATAAAAAAAAAAAACGATTACTAAGTACACTTACCAAGGTCTTCAAAATGTTTAAAAAATCATTTTTTAATTCATAGTGCTGTAATTCTAGTGTAGACAACCTTTTTGATACTGGATTTAAACAATCATTCATTACTACTTTCTCAAATCCTGAATAACTTTTGGACTTAATTCTTTGAATGTGCTTTCTGCAAAGTTGGGAGTCCTCTGCATCTGTATCACAAGCTTCACTTAAACCTTCACTGCTATTATCTGTCATACAGTTTTCGTTAATACTACGACTCTGATGAGATGTGCATGAACTCTCAGATTTTTCTGTTACTGCTTTTAGCTTCACAGGTGAACTGCTAAGTACTGTGGGCTTGAAATCACTTTTAACAGTAAGGGAGGTGTATTTTTGTATTGCTTTTGTCTGATGTACACCACCACTCATGTGATGCTGAACAACCTGTTCCACATGTTCTTCCTTGTTATAACCAAGCTTTTCTTGGAAGAATGTATCACTTGGAAATGTTATTGAAGAATCTTCAGAACACCTGTGAAAAGAAAGATTTTAAAATTTAACATAATATACAAAATTAAAATCCTTCTAACAAGTAGTTTAAGTGTTAAGGTTTCTATTTTATAAGCTTAAAGAACAAACTGTACTTCATTCTATATACACACACACAGAGAGAACTGATAGCAAGCTACAGGAAAATAGCAAGTGATATTATCACGAACAAAAATCACAAATTACATGTACCACCATAACACACTAGCAATAGTAATAAAACTAATATGAACAAGTACTTCGCATCTCTTTACAGTTCTCCTTAGAATGATCTGCATCTAAAAAAGTGTGTTTATTAGTGGATAACATAAAAATGTCAGTTTTTTTTTCTCACCTGGCATAAAGCTATGAAACAGCTTTATGTCACTTTGTCCAATTTTCTGGTAGTTGTACTTGATCCAAAAAAAGCTTAATATTAGAATAAACAAGAAAAAATGCTTTAGCTAGATAAATACATTTGTTTCTTAATTCAAAATGTAACCAATAATTCTTTTTAAATCCTCTCTAACTTGAGCTACACGGTGACTTTTGCAATCTAAAAATAGATTATACACTCATATCATGCTTTGTCAACTTGATTTGCATAGCTTGTCTTTAATAATCCATAAAAACAATTAAGTTACATAATAAATTAACTACTAAACAGTAACAGAATATTTTTTATATCAATTAAAGGTTTATTTCTTCTTGCTGTGTTTTGACCACTGTCGGCTAACTCCAATAAGTATTTTCAGGATGACTTGCATATTCAAAAGATTATTTCAAGAATCTCTATCACATACCTGGAGGAAATTTTTTACAAATAAAGGCAAAAAAGTTATCCCACCAATATACGACTTGTCCCATTACTTTATAATCATTGAACATCTTGAAGTCCTTATAATCCTGTTAGACTTCAATGGCTGGGCAACATAATTAGCCCACATTACAAATATTTCTTTCATACTCTGTTTAAATAGTATATGATATTTTGCTAAAATAGTAAACAGTTTCATGTCATCATACACAATCAGTTAAAATAATTCAAGTTTTATGAGAATTAAATGGCTCTGAATAAATTCTAATAAGCTCATTAGATAAAAAAAATGTTTCCTAAAAACATAAATACAGTTTTTGGTTAATCCTTTCATGATGGGTCACGAGTGAAAGGCCATATCATCTTCTTGGTTGACTTGCATTAAAAATTTTATTGAACTACTATTTCATGAATTTATGTCAATAAGTTTGGTATCAAACTGTAGATTATAATTCATATATTAGTACTATATATATTACTCAATTTCTTAATTTTAGAGCAAATTTTAAATAAACACGAATAAACATCGATTTTTGTGTGTCGCATGGTATGTTAAATGCAACACTGGTTCAAATTAGATGTCTATAGTTTCGACCGAATTAGAAACTCAAATTACCAATATTGACAAGCTAGAATATAAAATAAGAGACTTTTATCTTTTCAATTTGCTAAGATATTGCTTATCTAATAAATCAAACACAGTGGCACCCCGCCCACCTCTTTCCATTTTTAGAAACACTCCCTCATATACACTTACTTCTATATATGACATCAATAACCAATTGGAAGCTCAGAATACCCCTAGTGGTTTTTTCAGCAAGTTTAATGGACTTGGCACCATTTCTTACTTTTGAACCAGTATTTCAATGAGGTAGGGTACATCTTTAGTCTGCTCGAAATTTCACATTTTTTTAGACTAAAATACATCTTCCAATTTTTTTAAAGGCTTAGCAACCTACATCAAGCAGCAACTGAGTACAATGGTCATTACTAGAAGAGATAACTGTTTGCTTTACTTCGTTAGTTACTGTTCTATGTTTGAAGAAAAATAAGTTTAAGAACTTATTTCAAAAGAGCAATAATCTATATACATATATAATGTATAATAATTGAATACAGCCAAGACAAGTTACCTTGCACAGACCAAAGGTCAGTTTTATGTTATTTGATACAGTAACATGAGTGCACGTGAACCGCATCATTGTAACTTCTGTATTGTTAGCCAGGCATGGCTGAAAGGTCAATATAATAAATATACATAAATGCATAATGTCATGAGACAAAAGCCATTTAGTCTAAACATTTATGTTTTCATGTTATAATCTGTTCATTTTAGAATGAAAGAGGCATATTTTATATTCATTTCCTAATTTCTTTATGGTGGTTGCAAGATTGGTCAAATTTAGCAAACCCATACAGAAATTAATTACTGAAAATAACAGATAAAATATAGTTTTTTTTTCTTAAGAAACATTTAATAACTATCTCAACATTATAAAAAGTTCACATGTGAAATTTCAAAATTTTCTGATGCATAAAAGTATTTTTAATCTTAAAATGAATATTACTTTGCATGATAGATAGGCAACATGCAAAATGAAAAACATTGCTTTACAAACCTTAAGACTTAATAAAAAAATTTGATATTTTGCATATGAAAGCATTGTAAT